TAAGGGACTTAATTGGACACTGTTGGGGTAAATTCTGCTGAAAAAGGAATTCCTGTCAGAACTTCCACAATTTACAAGTGTCGTCTGCCAAAGTTTGCCTGATACAACCAATCTAAATGGTATTATCGAGTTTATGTTATAATGATAAAGAAGATACTATTATGCTAAGAGATAAAATTGGTCAGCGGCGCGCTTGATTCCCCGGACACTAATTTAGGCGTGTGTGTTCAACATTTGCTACTTTCTTATACTAACGTCCATCCAATGTAACTGACCTATAATCGGTTTTGTATTATGATGTTCATGAATAAGGTGCCACATTAGGTAATATTCAAATGGTAAAATTACGCATTATCGGGATTCATTATGCCCATGACACACATTCCAAGAAACCAGAGCGGTCAATTTGCGTCTGTTCATGGTCTTCTGACCAAGGTCAAACAGTCATCGATGATAGCCAGCTGTCTATTTTAGTCCCCACGTTGGAGATTTAGCATCACCAGACAACCATTTCTATTTGGAACAAAAGGTCAATATTTCTTCTGGTTAGGTCAGCAAATAGAAATGGCTGCCGGGACAATAATTGGAATTGCTAAATGTAGCATGTTGATATCACGTGACCTTGCAGTTGATTATCACGTGACTATCAAAATATCGAGTGACAATCACATGCGGTGACAATATCTATAAATAGCTACATTTGACCTCGAGACTGGCATCGCAGAACAATGTCAAATTGATTGCTATGTGTATTACCATAAGACCCCGACATTTACATATAAGTCAACATTACGAAAAATGGTTCAGCAGATTTTAACACTCTATTGTATTAACCTCATTGGATGGCGTCTTTGGATATATGTAAATAATTGACCTGTCAAATTAGCATACATATGACTTTAATATATACATGTCTACTGACCAAATACGGAAGGTCAAATGATGACAAATGAATCCAATTACGTCATGGTCCCGCCTCCGTGACCTTTAGACGCCATGCCTCACAGATAGATCCCAATAATGATTGGGTTTGGGGAAATAAAATTCTAGACATTGGCCGTAAATGGTCATGTACCAAATTCAACCGCTGAGAAAGATATAAAATAATCATGAAGTTTGTCGATACGCAGTGACGAACGTATGTTACGGTGGCGCCACCACCATTATATCTACGGATATAGAACACAAGCGTCTTAGAAACGCAGAGTGAATGACTGATTTGTAGTGACTAATTTAGTGAGGAACGGATGTATAGCATCGGTATATATATATATAAAGCAAGCGTCTTAGGTACACAGAATAAATGACTGGTTTTAGTGACTAATTTTAGTGAATTCTGGATATTAAGCATCACTATATATAGAGAGAGCAAAGCGTCATAGAAACACAGAGTAAATTACTGATTTGTAGTGACTAATTTTAGTGAAAACCGAATGTATTAAAGCAAGCGTCTTAAGAACACAGAGTAAACGAGCGATTTGTACCTTATAAACTTCAGTCAAAACAGTATGTAATGTATCACTATATAGCAAGCAAGAAATGTGTCACAGATTTGAGGTGACTAGTTTTAGTGATCGAGTATATATATATAGCAAGCAAGCGTCTAAGGAACACAGAGTAAAGGAAGTGATATTTAACTGATCAATTGTAGTCGGGACTGAATGTATTGTAATATATAGCAAGCAAGCGTCTTAGAAACGCAGAGTTAGCGACTGATTCGTAGTGACTAGTACTAGTAATACGGGGGGGGGGGGGTAATACATGAATGAAAAGCCACAGTGTAGTGGAACAGGGATCCTAAAACAAAGAACAGTCCCCTTATACGCATGTCTCTAGTTGCTGCGACACTAAGCGTTGACTGAACAAGCCACTGTTAGACATTGGTTCAGAATATCATGTGGGTAGATTTAGCACTAAGCACGTGTCTTTGAGACCAAACATGACACACGTGCGTTCGAACCAATGAGGTCACGTGATTACGATGAAACACGTCACACGTTTCTCATATGTTTTTTCTTAAATAATGAACGAAATATTCAACCGATTTTACCATTTCATTTATTTTAATCTGCAAGTTGAACCGTGGATAAAATCGAATTTTACAATAATTGATGCATTGTGATAACTAACTCGGTAATTAGGAAAATCATTATACTAGTGTCTAGTAACTCAAAATCGAAGCATAGATATACAGTCAGCTTCATCAGCAGAAGCCTATGAGCATGTCTGAAATGGGTCAATGTTTCCAAAGTTGCTCTTTTCCTAAATGCAAATCGATCGACGAGGTACGTATGAGCCACACAATCATCGCAGGCACAGGGTCCCATAAATTACTTATTTACCAAAGTAGCTGAAACCCAGCTCTACATTTACACATTCAGAACTCAATGATGCTGTGTCAATATTTGAAATTTATATTTTAACACCGGGAATCGATCGACTGCCCTACGCCAACCGCAAAGACAATATCGCGACCCGTGACATTGACCGACTATCTATACACCATTCCGGAATCACCCAAAGTCTAATTTATTTGTGAGTTTTTAAACCATGCAGAAATCGATTTGTGTTACCAGAACAGACAACGGGCCACAAAGACCCTCACAACGCCGACAGCACAATGTTTGACTAGAACACACACATAAGTGACATATCACCATTTACCCATCACGGCATCACGTGCTTTTCGATTCTCTCAGTAAAAGATGGCGGTCAATGTTTGCATGGATTAATTGAAACGGGTCAAATGGTCCCAGGGTCCTGACAACTCTTGGTTAATAGTCCCAGTTTGCAAAAGTTGATCTGTCAGTGGAAAGACAGTACGACCAGCACCAACCTAAACTACAATCGGCAATCTAGGGGGTGGTAAGGGGGTGGGGCATCTCGTTTCATGACAAAATCGTGTCTCACTTCATGTATCTCATGGAAGATTTATTGAAATTCTAACTTTTGAAATCAGTACTTCGGACTTTATTTCTAGAAACATCTAGCAAGGTTTGTCACTGGTGTCCAAGTCCACATGTACTACTAATTGATTCGAATGCATTGATTGGTAGCAAATGGTTATAAAATCCAGTCATGATTGGCCACAAACACATTGATTACTAGCAGGCAAATAAATGTACTCTGTGTATGTCCAGTCTTACTGCCCGCGTACCAGAGCAGGTGGTCAATAAATGAAATGGACAGCGTGACGAAAGACAAACGTATTTGGGCCAGTGGTATCTTTGAGTCTGTTATGGGGCCAGAGAAGGATAGCAAAGACATGTACTTGATGGTACCCCAGATATATATGTATTTACTAGATTCTATCAAATTTTCAAATTCAATTTTTTAAAGATAATGTAGAAATGTATGCACTATTCTGTACACCATCATGAGCTTAGCATTTTGAGTCCCAGGAAAGTATAATTATTTTTAACTTAAACGATTATTTGCACTGATTTTGATTAAAAAAGGTTTGCCTTAATGTGTCAACGGAGCTAAGTATACAAAGAAATTGACACAAAGCCAAGAGCTTAACAGTGACCTAATAAGAACTTACATTACAGGTAAACCTGCTNCCCCAGCATCATTTCACTTTTAACACCATATCAAAACCTTTCATGATTAAGTTTATATTCTTAACGTGATCTGTGTCAATACCGTATTATTTCCTGATATGAAGAGTTACTATATTGTTATCTTAAATGTGGGTATCTTATTATCAAACTTACTCAGATCTTTTTAAACGAATTCTAGTCAAAAACACACATATTAGCGCGTTATTCCATTTTCCCTCACAAAAATATTCTGTAATCTCGTAATGTGATAGGAACGGTAACGGAGGTTTTTTTGTAGGTTTTGTCAACATTTCCAATAGCTGTAATAGATTAATTCTATGGACTCGTAATTCTATCCTGTCCAAACAGTAGCCGGTGGTGGTATGCCATTAGCTTTTCAACAAAGCCGTCTTCACGAGTATTTAATCTATAGCACCGACTCTTTGTGCACAGAAGATAAACACGTTTGAATTTCAAACATAAAAAAAGAATAGCTCAATGCACAGGAAATCGGAGACAGCTAGCACAATGACCATTCAAAAGTGCCGAGAATCCCAACACAAAGACTATACAACTCCGCCCAGAGTCTGTAAACTATTTGGCTTTGTGTAGCTAGCTTTGGAGAGAAGTATGTGAAACGACTGTTTCCCAATGAATACGACTTGGAGCCTTTATCATGATGAAATGATGACCATAAATGCACAGGTCAGTAGATGTCCAACTTCGGCCAATTTATAACGCGCCACTACGAGCTGTACCCGTCCCTACGAGCTGTCCACCTGCGCTCGCCACTCATTAACTTTCATTCTCAGTCAACACTGGTTAAATTGCATCGGTAGCCGAGATTATACATCTGATTCAGTAGATAGTTCAGTTACACCGTTAAATGTACATGTACCACAGAAAAGCCATTCTCGGTAAGCACTGCTGGGCCGTAATCTTTATAATACCCGCCACTTGCAGCAGAAAACCCCAGGTTCATCATCTCAGTACTATTTCTAAATCTAACGACATCTGCGTTTTCTCCCTGGGGGAGCGTAAAAGTCGCGATTCATTTGTACCACAAAGAGAAATGTTTGACGGTTAAGATTGAACGTTTTTTTGTACGATAGTACTACAGCTGTCATTTCATCTTATGTCGGGTAAGTATAAAATAAAATGAAGATTAGTCAAGGGGAAAGTGAATATATGACAGATGGTTTTTAAATCCGTCTCTCATTCTCTTTCATATCTGTCTATGAAACAGAGTATTTATCTATCATTTCCATAGCTTGTCACGATAAGTTCGTTTTAAATGATATTTATATATATAATATGCAAATGTGACACAAAGACATATAATTTCTAGTGAAATGAGGGGGTTATCTAGTCAATAACACGTTGTCATCATATCATTTCATATATTAAAATATTTTAAAAATAAACAAATGATATTAAATAAACAAAATAAATACGTACCTCCAGCGACCATAGTTTCCTCGAACTCGGTTTAAATCACAGCAGTTAAAAAAGTTCACTCAAAAGATTTGTATAAAAAAAAACGGTCACTTTTTTCAATAATTTTTTTTCTTGTTTTTTTTTTACAAAATATAAAATATATCTCTATAATAACATTGATAACGTATTATTTTTCTGTCGTAACAACGTGATTCCGAATATACACTAATATAATACGAGAGCACTACAGAGTTACAACATCGACCCACGTACACAACAACGGAACTGTGTAGAATTCCCGTCTCCGCCTTATATACCCGCCGACTTAGCTTCATCCATCAGCAAATTAATGAAAAACCTCCAACTGGGTTTAGCTTGCCCGGCTCCGAATATCCCATTAGATTCTTTGTTTACGCGAATCTGTTGGCTCAGTCCACTCGCGCCGGTCTACGCTTATAACACAAAGAAATAGTGAACACCCCTCGCGGTTCCAATTTATTGGACTCGCCGGAAACTGGATTCAGTACGGTAGCAGCCAATGAAATTCGTCTGCTGGGTATACTCTGTTCTACATTTAATCCCAGTTGGGTTAAAATCAATCAAGCGGACATTTTTTTCTTTTGAAGAGTGAACCAGATTATGTTCCAAATGTGTAAACTTTTACTATGTGTGTGTTTGGCGGGGTGTAAGAAGCGGCCCCTTTGAAGGGCCGGGCCCCCGAAATAGGGGGCAGATGGGAGTCGACTGGCCCCGAAGTATTTGAAGTATTCTCCATCTGTCAATGTAGTATGATCACCTAGCGGTATACTGACAGAAGAAACGCACCTGTCGTATCGAAGTCATATTAACATAACGTACCCATAGCAACCAGGTGCAAAAACCTTTGTTCGGAATAAATCAATGTTCTTGTCAGACCTGTCTCATTGTGTGCCAGAAAATAATATACCATTTATACTAATTATGTATTTTCGTCTTTCTCATTTCGTAATTAAATATTCATAGCAATATATGGAATAATGTATTATTGGGTTGAGATCTCCGTTTATGCAAACCACCTAAATTGATTTTTACCTGTCCAGGTAACCTTTTTTTACCGTGAGAATAATCAGAGACTGCAAACACGTTTGATCATTAATTCACGCTAAACTTGAAAGGACGAAATATGTATTGATATCCACTGTCAATAATCCGCTTAATTGGATTAAGAAAATAACTTGTTATCTTTATTGTGCAATATAGAATAATGTATATTTTCAAGGGCTTAGCAGTCAAATACGATGGTTTGGTGCGAATCTGTTTATTTCATTTTTATACGAAACGATTTGATTTGATTTGATCGGGCCCACGCAACAGTCAAAGTTTACGAGGAAGATGTTTTTATTTTTAATATGATAGTTAAAGTTAATCGCTAACTCGGACTAAGTAAACCATCTACAATGGTCAAGAAGGTAGCTTGTGTTTATATCATAGCTTATTTTTATTGTGAATCACATTATCAAATGTTATCAAATAATTCACCGTGGAAAAAAAATGTTGTTTACGGGTTTTTTTAAAGTTTTAAATGGTTGTGCAGAGGATAATGTATGAGATTGATATAACTAGCCGAGGAAAGTAAGAAATGCATACAGCGAGTGTTTCGATTATGTAGCCGATTATAAGCCGTCAACGGTCATAGTTGTTTTCAAGTATCAAAATATTCTAAGCATTTTGTAAAACCACCAATAAAAACAACTCTAAAGATAAGAGCCAAAAATAACACGACTAAAAATAAGTTTATATTTAATTTGAGGCGACAATGCGTAGCAGTATTTGTAGACAGAGTGTAGCATTTATGTCACATTCAATTAACAAATAACTTACGACTGATTGTTGTGAATGCATAGATGTTGACTAGATTTTTAATTTCTGCTTCACAACTGAGATCAAATGAATAATTACACATATTGTCCAACCTCCATACTATGTCTGTCTTGCTGTGTATCACTAACTCAATTTTGTAAAATGTATTGTAATGTTTATGCTGATTAGCCGAAAGGCTAAAGGCCAATAAACGAAACTAAATCACACGCTAAGGCAAAGTAAAAGCGCTGAGAACCCTTGAATTTGAATGTAGATTCATCCTTTATTACACAAAGAAACCGCATGGCTCTGGTTATGTTACAATCAGACTGATTTTTTTAGGGATCTTAACACACTGACATTCCTTCATAATACGTTATTGTTTGTTTGTTAAATATCGTTTTTAATGCACTGCAGCAAAAATGTTAGTTTTTTAAAATCAGGAAAACTTGAGAGAAATGCTTTGTCTATAAAACATGTAAATACCAATTAACTAGAGAAAACCATTGTCAAAATCAATTTTAACTACAAGTTACCCCGAGATTCAAGCCGAGACATCAGTATCCCTCATAATCAATGAATTATAAATGATTTACAAAAGGTAAACAAGTTAAACCAGCTGAAATGGCTATACCCGTGTGTACATTATAGACATCGTTATCGGAAGTAAGATGTTGCGAGGGTCATTTTAACGATTATGAAACCTCAGGCTCAGATTTCCCGTCGAGTGGACATAATCAATAAGTATTGATTTTTGTCCTGCCCTGGTCAGTGGCAATGCCAGCACGTGACGTCATAATTACGAACGATTTGATAAGCTTGATTAAAATGTCAGGATCGCTACATAGGGGCGGTGCTGATGCCCTGGTCAGCGTCAATGCCACCAGGTGACATCATAGTTACGAAAACTCTTGAATTGAATATTTAATAAGCTTGATTAAAATGTCAGAATCGCTATAGAGGTTGGATGTTAATATTACATCATTAGGATCATTAATTGATCATTTATCAATAATAATAGCAATGTACAAAGCACAGCATAAAACTTTTAGTGTCCTGACAGAGCACGGGTAAACAAATTAAGGCTACCTTGTACATAATTTCTGCTACCCTTTATCTCCCTTGAATCGAACTCTTTAATTACCATTTGTTTAAATCATTCATTAAAACTGCATCTTATCAATTGATACCAGGTTTGTGAAGCTTTCAAGTCTGTAATTAATTTATCAACTAGGTCAAAATAGCCATCTCCAAAACATAGTTTCGTGTGGAACTCTTTTTAAATGAAGGTACATATCACATCAAATAGTACGATTTTTAATAAGATACTTTTGGTGTATCTAATGTTTTTTTGTATATATTTCGTAGAAACTACGTCTTTTCGTCATTTTATTGAAGGAAATCTGAATTGTCCCTATGTTAAAAAGTAAACAAAACGCCGCTAGCAAGCGAATTGTCTGACCAGTGTCCTGCTCATGGTCAGTTGAGGCGATACCAGTCACACAAATTACCAGTGGTTACGTCATCAATAGAAATCGCCACCGCTGTGGCATCGTTCACCTGCCAAACTGACCTGATTAAGGCGGCGAAGAGCCAAACTTGTTAGCGGGGATGACCTAACAAGCATTGTTGACCAAGGCCTGATTTGAGCACGCGCCACCCGTTGACCATCGGCGACTAGAGGTGTCGGCAAACCTGCTGGACACCTGTTCGTCCATTAGTGAGATTACGAAGGTGCAATCATCGGGTACCTGTGTCAACAATAGCTCTCGTCGGAGTCTCGTGTATCTATGACACACTCGGCTGCACGCGCCGTTTAGCGCCAAAATGTCGTATGTCAATAAACAAAAGAATTACTTTGTAGAGTGACAGAGTACTTAAAGCTTATGTACACAAACTCGCGTGCCACAGACTTACGCGATGTATAAGAGCCGTTATAGAACACGAAACACATTCAATCAGATAGTGGGTTTTTTTTTCACATTAAAGATTTTTTTATTTTACTCAGAAACACATTAGTGTATAACAAAGGGCACATGTGCACAGCAGTCATAGATATGGCGAAATAAAATTTGACGATTATGGGAGAAGATTGGTTGAATGTATGTAAATACAATATTCATTTTTGTTGTCATTAATTGATATTGTCTAATTATCATATCATTTTTTGTTTATGTTTAACAGCAAGTGTGTGTCGTATAACACTTTAAAGGTCTAAAAATTGTTGTATTTTTTACAAAATTTTAAGAAATATTGATCACTTATATTTAGCCCTTTCCCTAATGGTCTTATCTCGTGTCTAATAAGTCTGTGTGTGGCTGTGCATAAATTTATCCTCAGAATTTAAATGTGTTTTAATTGTAAAATTGTATGAATGTGTATATAAATGCTTGACAAATAAATAAAAAAAACACTTTTAGCTATATATCAGCTGTTTTTTGACAGTCTGTGGTTGACATTTATCACGTCTGTTTCGCTTTGTGTAAAACGACCACTTAAATTGTATTTCAAGCTCATATTCATAGATATTAGTTTTAAATATTTAAATGTTGTCCTCACATAATGATATTTAACGTTCCACAGGACAAATGCGTAGGATGATGTTTTTTACTACATTATTCAAATTTATGAGGTTGAACGTACTGCCATTTAAACCAATCGCATGCCATGAAAATAATGTGTTTTTCTTTGTCTTTTCAAAAGATTGTACGTAAAAAAATGGACTATAAATAGATTTTGTTTATTAAATTTCTAACTCGATAGCGCTATTTAGTTTGGGCGTTTGTGACGTGATTAGATGTCGGTCTATTTTGTTTTTTTCATTTGTTATCCTTTAATCAACATATGACAATTCAAATACGTTAGCAGACAAATGTTTTATAATAATAATCGGAGATCCATATTGAGTAGCTTATCAGAAGGTGACAGTTTCAAGTCCGATAGATGTCATATGCTATACATTAATGCGGAATGGAAATTTGTTTTATCTTGATAATATCTTTAAAATATTGAACTATGTTTAATAAGCCACTTTTGCTTGAAATAGAAAAGAACTTTCAAAATTGCATAAATTATATATTCCTTTGATTAAACATGAACGCACGTAATTNCCCCCTCCTCCAACACCCCTCCCAACAAATTCCCTCCAAACGTAACTAAGGAATCATAATACATAACATAAAATCCTCCTTAAACGAACCCAAAAAACAAACAAAAAACAAAAAGTTTTTAAAAATATATATTAGGTCTGGCTACAAATTAAACCACCCAATAGAAGCTTCGGAGATTGATTTTCTGGATTTGTTTGAAGTATGGTATACATTTCTCTCTATTATTCATGACTTTACACGATAGTAGACAATTACACGTAAAGAGGTGTATACACAAGATTAGCACGCGCGTGGGAAGACAGGTGCGATTTTTTTTACGTCGGTGGTATGAACTATAAAAGCTGGAAACCTGTGTTGAACATTAAGGCTTAGCATCGTGAACATTTGTACTAACGTACTTTTTAATCCGACTTAATCAAATCAAAC